CAGCTCAGCTCAGCTGTTCTCATCGCTGGAGGAGCTTGGGGGACCTCACTGTCACTGAGGACGGCTGCGGTTCTTTTCGAGGGAGCTCTGGTCCTTACCTTGAGCGTCACTTCCTGGCTCCAATGCAGATCCCTCAGCCTGCTGGCACCAATCTTCATAACGCCGGCACAGACTGTGCAGCTTCCACCATGACCTTTGGGCCTTCCCAGCGCAGATCCTTGAAACAGGCCTGCATGAGGCATTGTCGTGGGCTCTGGGCCTCCATCCAGCTGGACTCATGCAGGACATAGCCATGGGATCCAGGAGGCCTCTACTGGATTCTTTGGGTGTCTAGTGTGTGCACAGGTCTCCCGCACTCTTTTGCAGGTGACTCTTTGGGTGATTATTATAAAATTATCCTATAAACCATGTGTCCTGTATGAAATCTTTTCCCTTGTAAACCCTGACTGCAACAGTGTGTGTTTAACTACCAAATGAAGTAGTTAAAAGAGCCTGGACAGTGAGATGAGAAATGCTGGTTCTAATCCCCATTCTGCCATTGTCCTACACTTTGACCTTGAGCAAGACTGTGTGTCCACAAGGGTGGGGGACAGGGGCCTCCGGGTGTGGTCTTGGCGGAGCCCCTGACCTGCACCAGTGGACATGGCTCTGTCCTCGGCTCCACAGGAAGGAAGGCAGAGGGAAGTGAAGGTGGAAAGCATGAACAAGACTGTCATGGGGCTTTGACTGTCACTTAGGAATCCTGACTCTATCCAGGGCCTTCAAAGTTGGGTTCAGACAGTGGCCAGGTAAACTAAACAGCAAGGTCTGTGCATTATTTTTTCTGTTTTGTTTTGTTTTGTTTGAGACAGAGTCTCACTAAGTATCCCAGACTGGTTTTGAACTCATGGTTTGTCTTGGTTACTTTTCTCTCGTTGCTGGGACAAAATACCTGACGCCCAAAATGAAGGAAGGAAAGGTTTATTTCGCTTACAATTTGTGGAGGTTTCAGTCCGTACTTGGAAGATTACAAGGCAGAGTGGCACATGGTGGAGAGCTACAGATCGTGTCCGCAGAACACAGCAAAA